AATGATAGAGCACTTCTCAAAGTGGATAGAACTAGTTCCACTCATAGACAATACCTCAGAAGAGACGGCCAAGGCCTTCCTTCAAGTGTGCACCCACTTCGGGGCACCAGCAGAAGTACTCACGGACCAGGGGCAGGAATTTCAAGGCGAATTTGACACACTGTGCAAGGAACTCCTTATCGATCACCGCGAAACTTCGAGGGATCACCCACAAGCTGACGGCCTTGCAGAACGTACTGTTCAAACTACAAAGCAAGCCGTGCGCAAATACGTGCTCACGCACGCAGTAGACACCTGGGATACATGGGTACCCTGGATTGCTATGGGCTACCGCATGTCCAAGCAATTTGCATTAGGAAACTACTCACCCTACTTCCTAATGTTTGGACGACACCCAGTGGTAGGAGCTAACCTCCGAGACCTAATCAACACACCTGTTGACTTAGATGACCCTAAATTGTGGGCAGAAGTCATCGCCCACCGCGCCGAGGAGTTCCGTAAGGCCATACCCATTGCCTTCAGCAACCTCCAAGCCGCGCAACACCGAGACACCTTGTGGTACGCCAAAACCCGCACCGGGAAGTGGAGCCCAAAGGTAAAGCGCTTTGAAGTAGGCGATTTAGTCTACCTGCGCCGCAGAAAAGTTGACACCCTCGACGTTGATGTAGGCCGAATCATATTGCGAATCACTGAGGTCTTGCCCAGTGGAGCTCTTAGGCTATAGGGAAGAGATGGCAGAACCATCAAGGATCACGTTGAGAATTGTGCCCCGTGCCATAATCCAACCATTGACCTAACAATGGACACGACACTTTCGGGATATGACGAAGATTGGGCCTGTCAGATCTGCAAGAAAATAAACAGACCAGCTAAAATGCTCATCTGCAACTACTGCAGTGAGGGCTATCACATGGATTGCTTAGAACCACCAATTCTGAGGATTCCAAAAGGAGATTGGTTTTGTCCGCGTTGTGCATTGTAAATCCTAGTAAGGGGGGCACTATTAACAAAGTTATACTTGTACCTATGCAGGAAGCATGGCGTCCAGCTCTGCACCTCCAGACAGAACAGACCCACAACCGGCTCAGTCAGCCTCCGGGTGGGGACCACCTCCCGCACCCATTTCATTTCACGAACTTATACCCATTGATAACCCACCAATACCGCCAGTATACCCCGAAAATGTATATTACGACAATACCAGGACCATGACTCTTTTTGAGTGGGAGCAGGGATTCTGGCCCAATAAAAAGGCTCAACTCGCCTGGCGCGTTCAGCAGTGGGATGACCAAGTAAAAACCTTGGTGCGCACCAATTATCAATGGTTCGCCTTAATCAATAGAATGTACAGGGAAATCGAAACAATCGAAAGACATAACGAGATGTTCCGTACCCCTATAACTATACGCCAATTTTTACTATTTCAGTGTCCACGGGCCGACTTGCTTCAGACTCTCCGCGATTGCGCAGAGCATTACCCAAAGAACGTAGTTATTACCAGACGCACAGGCACACCGCCGAGGAATGCCATGCTTGAGTTCATTGAGAAGCAAGTCAGTGCAGGCGAAAACGATTGTACCGCACCGTGTTCCAAGCAACATGTAGACAAATACGGCAATATTTAGCAATAGTTTGGTAACAGTGGTGCTAAAACTACTCCAACGCCCCCGCTCCGCGACCCCGGATCAGAGCTGATGCCATACATGTATGGTGGCTGAGGAATAGCCCAAGCACTCACTGCCACACACAGATAATAATAACAAACATTGCCGTTACCTCTTGCTTAACATAGGTTTCAATCATTGATAGAATTACGCAAGTTACCAGCATTGTTCCCATCAGTATGACACAAGCCCAAACCTCGTCGGGACGACTCGGTGGCTTAGGGGGGAAATA